TCTTCCGACAGCCTTATTTTAAGTCAATTTTGTCAAGTATCCAAATCCAAGAGACTTAACGCATAGATGCTCCTATACTGAATACATTACTTTCTCATTAAGGATATTAAAAATACAGATCTACAACCAGGGAGACAAACATGGACAGCTATTTCATGACTATACATAAAACCTCTTACCATTCCAGCCTGATGCAAGAACCACATGAGATAATCCTCCTGAATGTCCACCAAGCTGGAAATCTCAGGGATATAAAACTTATCGTATTCTACATGTTTAACCTTCTGATTTACCTAGTGAAGAAAACAGATGACTTAAAATGTGAATATATTCAGCATTTTTCTTAGAACATGCAGGTTTGTTTCCATAAAATCAGTTATAGTGGTTTGCAAAAACAGGACCCAGAAAGTCTGGCAAAAAACACATGGTCCCTTATATTTTAGTACAAATGAAGAGGAATCAAGATAAGCCTCTTTTCAAATTATTTTAATTTCCTTTCCTCTTCACCTAGACTACCCAGCACCAACACAGTGGGAGCAGAAAGCATCAAGGGAAAGGTATTTGTGATGCCAAAGTGCACGTCGTCTGGTGGCTCAGCAGCAGCATTCTTTAGGGTAATTTTTTCCGAGTGTTTGAGACAAGACTAAACAATCTTCAAGTACCTTGAATTCAGGAAAACCACTAACATCTTCCCCACGTGGTGTCTTGGTGGACAGTGACACAGCTCACAAGCCAGGGCCATGACCACTCTGTCCCTGCCAACTGGCAAAGGGCAGACAAGACTGAATCATCTTGAGCAAACACAGGCCCAGGATTTCCTCTTACCTTGTGGAGTTTTTCCAGAAGTCTGAGAGCAGCTGTAATGTAGCTACTGAACAGGACTGGGATCAATAGCGTCTTCCTTCCACTGAGGAGGTAAACCACTGCACCTTTATAGAGGTCCACTAGCCTGAGGAAATATCTTGGGCACACTTGAGACCACCAGTTATCTGGAAAGCAGAGAAACATCAATATAAATCCTGAATTAAAGGCCAGAGTAATCCCTAAATACAGGGTTACAGCTGAAAATAGGGGAAGACACCTGACGATTGTCTCAAAAAATTTCCCCATTTCTGTCCTAACTGTAGCAACATGAAAGTGAGCAAAGAGTCAGCTAGATACCAGAAATTGAAAAGTTCTTCCCTTTCCACTCTTATACAACCACCCCAGTCACTACCCAGCCCCAATCCCTGATCAGTGTAACAGCCTGAATTAAAGGTTTTTCAACCTTCAATTCAAGATACAAGATACTTGAAACAGTATCCAAGATACTGTGATCTTGAGGGCAAACCATTCTGTCTCATGAGTGATAAGAAAGCAGTTGCCTGGACAATTCTCTGTAGCACCACAGACTTTTTCTAGCAGGTGTGAGAGCATGGCTTCTGGCACATGTGCACTAAAGGTCTGAACTCCTCCTCTTTAGAAAGGCTGATTTCTTTCTTGCCAAGGACAGGTAACCCTCACCTCTCCTCTGAAGGGACCCTGACTGTTAGCTTCATTGCTAGAACCAATCAACCTGCAAAATAAAAGCTGGAGCCTGGGAAACCATCATATCAACCGTTAGAAACAAACACCAAACACCAATTTATCCTCTCAAGTGTCAGCACAATAGGTTCTGACAGGTAAGAGTACAAGAATCCTTTACATTTCTGTAAAGCTCATTTAATCTTCATGATATACAAAATCTATGTTCAGAGGCATGCAAATTTATCTGAAACCGAGTCTCTGAACGTAGGTACACTAGATAGATAAAATAAATCAGATTAACCTCCCTAGTAGGTGTTCTTTGAAATGATATTTTACTTCTAAATTAAAACAATTCTTAACCTGAATTTTCTCTCTCATTTATTATCCACACCACCATAAAGTTTGTGATTCATATTATTGTAAGTACCCGTATCTTACCTGCATGGAACATCCTTCATTTCCTCAAAGTTCATGCTTAAAATTCAAATTTTATGTTTATAATTCTTTTATATGGGAACACATGTTTTGGGAGGAGGATTCCTTAAATCCTTTTGGTTCCCAGCTGCTTTTTAGAGGCAACTGCTTCATAAGACTATATCACAAATAATACCCAATTATCATTGCAGTCATTGTAACAGAATAGAAAAATTAAACCAACACAAAAGCATGACTGAAAAACCTACAGGCAACACTTTGTCTCCCAGTTGGATACTGAGAGGAACATGCATCTTAAATGCCAGCCTCTTACCAAGAACTTTACTGGGGTTGGTATCTAGGCGCAGAATAGCCATTGCTAGAGGAAGCGTTAACGTGATATAATACTTGGAGTCTTGGAAGGGTGGGAATTCAGGGAGAATCAGATAGATCCTCATTGCCTCGACATCCGGTGGTGAGCTGGACAGCTGAGGAATCAAAAAGCTTTCAAAGCTTTTCAGTATCTAGAGGAAAACAAGACAAAAGACAACAACTTATCCTGGGTGACAGAACACCTACAATGTAGATGAGTAAGAACTGATGAAATGGAGCACGCTCAGAATGGGTGGACTTAACAGCTTTTGCTGATGATCTTTTAAAAACACTCCTTAGGACAGGACTAAACTCTGATTTTTCTACAATGCGTAAGTGTTTGGATAGGTTTTTCCAGGGCTAGCTAAAGGTTAGTTAACCCCTCCTGCTAAGGTCACGCCCCTGTTTTAAAAGTCAAACCCAGAGTAAAAAAAGCTATAAAATCTATAGCTAAAAATGGCATAGGCAACATACATGATTTTATCCCACAGCTCTGCACTTGTGAAAGAAATCCTCTGAGTTAGAATAAATTATACAACCATAAAGTACTCAATTCCTGACAGGCAATAAATGAGCACATAGTCATTATTTAAAAGTATAACATATATAGAATTAATTTCAGCAGCCATTTCAAGTATTAAACACCATGAGTTAAAACTTGTTTTTAAAAACAAGTCTGAGAGACACGCTTTCAGAAGATGAAAGTCAGCCCAGGTCAACAGAGAAGTATCCATTGATACCATGAGCGACCTGGTCTGCACATTTGCAATACAATCCTTCCAAAAAAAGCTGCAGCTACTTGCATGTTACAGAGCAACAAAGCCTTTACTTCCCCTCTGAATACCCAAAACACCAGAAGTGCAATACCTGGTCTAGGAGAATGGAGTGCTGAGAGTTCATCAGCTTCTCAAACAGCACTCTGGTGGAGTTCAGATCAATCCCTGGGATCTTCGGACTGGTTTTAAAGTGTTCATCAATTCTTTAAAAAAAATTCCAGACAGATAGGCATAAGTTTAAGGAAGAGACACCATTACCTGTGTGCTGATGTGGCCCGAGAGAAGCAATGGAGCAATGACCTCTAGGGAATTAATCAGACTAGAAAATCAGAAGTTAGAATCTTCTTGCTAAAGACAAGATGAACAACTGTCCCTTCTGAACAACTCTGGGCCTTGGTGAGGGTTGGGATTCTTGAAGAGAAACACTTTATAGAAGTGTTTGATTTCCCCAGGACTCCTTCACTGACTTAAGAGCCTGCCTAGACAGGCCAGACTGCTTAAAAACCTACAAAATGTATCTTTCATATGTATCAGGATCCTCTGTGTTGTCTTCATAGACACTACTTTTACAGCCAAATCTGTTTAATTACACCCAGTAAGAAAGAGGAGGGTGATGCATGCAATGACAAGGGGACATCAGATGAGGGTTTTCAAAAGAAAACAGAGGAAGATATTCAGAGCAGATTTTTGGCAATTCCACGCACTGACTTTCTAAAACTAAACAGCAACCACAATCAAAACACAGCACAGTTGAGAACAGTCTTCACGCGGTCTTTAGTTGTAACAAAGATGTGCTGTCCTTTCTGTTGTGCTTGAAAGGTTGTAATTTACTCAGGCTACCTGTGTAAGAGGGATAATGAAGGCAAGCCTGCGGAGGACAATAGTTTGAACAGCCAGATCTAGCAACACTGGATGCCCAGGCCAGCAGGTACGTTACCTAGCTCAGTGTCTAGATCAGCATCTGAAGCAGAAGCCCTCAGCGCCACTGTCTGCAGTAAAGCTGCACATAAAACCTTGCAGTTGTTAGTAAAAAAAGGTCATTGCTACAATTCCATTGACCTCAAGGATCTCCCGAGTCTGTCACTACTCATCTAAGACTGTGCTGCATCTGTCACCTTGCTGGTGTGATTGTAATGACACGAGAAGCTAAATGTAGCCTGCTGTAGTAGAATGGCTATTTCCGTAACAGCCCAGGCACCAGGCTGGAAATAGCTCCTCCGAGTCACACTGCGGTACAGAGTGCTTCAGGCTGGGAGGTGCAGAGTAATATTGCAGCGTGCCCAGTCACACAGCCATGGAAAAGCTGCTTTTCCATCTCACCCTGTGTACCACAATGCTGTACTGCAAACAGGCCTGTATGGATACTGGGAGGATAGAAATAACCCTACTATATCAAGTGCATCGTGTGACATAAGGCTTCAATATAAAGGTACAAGGTTAAATCCAGCCTCACTTCAGTGTACGGTGGCTTCAAATTTTATCATTCATTTGGTCAAAGATTTTCTGTAAGAGTTAAGTCCTGCACAAGCCAGGACATCATTAAAGTGGAAGTGGAAGGAGAACTGCACTGGGGTGATGAAGCCATAAACTCCACTCATCTCCACGTTCAAAGGAGACATGGGACTACTTACAGAAACTCAACAACTTGGATACCTCAACAAATGTTTTAAACCAACATGACACAACTTTCCTGACGCAGTAACATGCCGCCTTGTCACAACACTAGAAACGAAACCATTGGATAAGCAGGAAAATGCAAGAATAATGAGTTAGTTGTTTTCTTTTTCAAGTTGCTCTTGGAAAATATTATTCAAAGATTACTCAGAGTAACTAAGGTTTTCTTCACCTCGTTACAGGTCATTTACTCATCACATCACCATAAAAAAATTCTCTTCCTCCTCATCTTATGCTGTTACCTCCCCAACCTTTACAGACACAGCCAACACAACCCTTCCCAACCCACAGCCTTTGACTCAGCTATGCATATTACATCCTTGTCATCACCTATTCTTGGTTACACCCATTTGAAACTCCTGCTTTTGTAGCAGGAGCACAAAACTTTCCACAACTGATGTCACCTAAAAGGAGAGTGCTTCCATGCTGCCCCAGATGTATTTTTCAAGAGCAGCCTATGTTCAAGTATACCTCCACAAATGGCAGCCCCCACCAGCTAGCTCAGCTGGCTAAGAGACTATTTGGATACCTGGCATCACTCATTTCCCTTAATGCCGTATTCCTATCCCTCTCTTTTAAAGACGTTGACATGTATTTCATAGGAACAAATAACAGTCATGTCAACTCCAAGGAATCTGTGCCGCTTACAGTACACTCACCGTGCACTTTCTTAGACCACTTGCCTTCCATACCCAGCTCTGACCACGCACCTCTTTTGTGGACACTCTCTGCCCCTGTCTCCTGTCTGATCAGAAAAATCAAATCCCACTGCAGCATTAAGTGAAGTAAAGGGATTCCAGTCTGCCTCAAGGGAAAGACACACCTCTGCAACTTTGCCACTTACTTCTTCTCCAAGAAGCTTCCATTCCAGCAGGCAGCTGAGGACAGTATCTGAACAACATGACTGTTTGCAGCAGGAAGACAAAAGAAAACAGAGATAGAGGTTATGAAAAGATGTCCCAGCAGGCCTCTTCAGCTCTCTTCCCTTCCTACTATGGGAAACAGTGTCAGGATCACCCCTTCAGAGGCACAGAGGGTAAGCGGTTCACTCAGGATCACATAACATCCCTCTTTGAAAGGAGGGATGTTAGCAGTGCCTCCTTTCCACCTATTCCGCCCTTCTCATGGCAGGCACACAGGGGAATGAATTTAAATCAGTCTGTTCACAAGTTCTTGCTGTTTTTCATGAACTCCAAGCACACACTGAAGGACAATTTTAAAATCCATTTCCCACCCACCACTTGCAATGTTCTGAGGCAGCCTCAAATTCCTCTGGTTTTGCTCAGCTCCAACCTGGCAGCCTTGTGACTCGCAACTGTCCTCCCCTTGGAAACAACCAAGAACCACACTTGAAAAGGCTGCTAAATTTCAAGTGAAAGCATGGCACGGAAGCCAACAAAATTATTTAAATAAAACTTTCAACAAAAGGCTTGTCCAGTGCCACAATACCTACTTGACAGAATTAGAACTGTTCTTTTCTAAAAGCCTTTGCCTCCAGACATCTATAGTTTCATCATTTATTAAACAGGTGTAACGTGTTTCATTTATGGTCCGGAAATCATCAGCAGGCAAGGAATTCTGTGAGAAGATACAGATTTCAGCAAAGACAAGGCTTGTAAAACAATTCCTTCTTATCCATAACCTGTTTTCTATATATAACTGATAGCTTCCTTAGTGTGGTCTCTGAACAGGTTTGGTTAGGAAGCTGTGCCATTACTAAAGTCCAAAAGGAAGGGCACGGAAAGGTATGAA